GGTGGGTTTTCTAGGGGCGAGTTGACTGCCAAAGAGTGTTGCCAAAGTGCGAGCCAGCGTGTTATTTGATCACAAGTGCGAGACATCATAAGTGTGAGCCGACGAGCCATGACGTCACGACAATAGATACGAGACGTTAACGAGTTGTGCGAGGTATCGGCTGAGATTTGTGGAGTACAGTTCAAAAAACAACTATAGGTCTAATAATGAATTATTGTGATGTTAAATAGACAATGTTAGCTATCAAGGAGCGACGTTGTTTTTCATTGGGACCTTCGTCCCTTCGTGGCTAAGCCTATACCATCCTAGCTAGTCTAGGCCTAGGCTAGCGCGACATGCGGACGTTGGTACGTGTTGGTTAGTCTACAAACGTCGCCTAAAGTAATGGATTTTACCCAGCAGAACGAAAGAAGGAAACTCCGCTTTTCAGTCGTCTTAGGCCCTTATTTTTTGACAAACAATGACCTTTCAGAGGTCAAATTGCTGTCAAGAATATGAATTGGCTGCTTCGCAGCAATAAATAACATTTGAACAGATGTGGCTTGATTTTTCATTCTCATGATGAAAAACAAGAAAACTAGCAATGAATGGATATATACTATTGTTTTTGTGGACTCTCCCTTGGAATTCAAAGGCCATAATGTTAATGTTTATACTTTCATTTTAAATTCTATAGTTTTTTGTAAGGTGTTACTGTATAAGCCTAACATTGAAATTCCCATCAGTCATAAATTTTCAATGTTGTTATTATTATAATTATTACAATTAATCATTCTGTGGTAGAACATATGGTCTTCATGTAGATAAAGTATAGAAATATCATGTGGGTGTTGTGTCTGTAAAAGAGCTACAAAAAAAAATCTATAAAACCTAAAACTATTTACTCGACAAATAAAACCGACCAAATAAAGCTGTAATATTTTACCAGAAAATTTTCCACTGCGTTCACACATTGCTGGCCTTAACTGCTACTGTACGCAACCCTAAATAGAAAGTCTAAATAAATCTCTGGAACTACAATCAGCAGAGGATGATACTGTAATAATCACTAATTAATAATCACTAATTACATGGACTGATTGAAGGACACTCTCATGAATTAGTTCTGAGTAATTCCAGAAATCTTGTCAGCATTATCCAGTATTGAGGGTGTGTCATTTTTTTTTTCGTTTGTTATGAGACTGAGATAAATCAAAGCTGTTCAAATTAATCATTGTTATTTTATCTTGTATTTTTTTTCAGAAATAAAATCCCCGGATATGAATCATAAATTTATCTTGTCTATTTTTTTTTTGTTTTTTTGTAGAGATTTATTTCCTGATAGTTATGTTATAATAAGCGACCGACCTGATGGACAGTTGGTGACTAAAAAACCACATTCAAAGGTATGTGAATTAAAAATGGAGAAAATGAGTTTTTGAATGAAATTACAACCAAAATAACTACTCCAATTATATCGTGAGAGCATCTTTATAGTACATTTTTTAGGCTCCAAATCATCAGCATTTACTGGATGAATTCACCTTTGTTCAAAATGGATTGAACATATATTGTGATTACATCGTCCAGGTTTTGAAAAATGTATACAAAACACAAATAAATACAATATTAGTTTATTGCAATAGCACATATATTTTAAAATTTGAAATTAAAAAAGTGCTACATACTTGGTTGAAATAATAATACAGCAAACTGTATCTGTAGTATTTTTTAAGATAAACCTGCCATGGGCTGAAAAAAATATATCTACCTCCCTTTTTATTTTCTATCTTCTATTGGTGGAAAGGGAGTATTACCTATTCAGTTCAGTTTTTAGTTTATTATACCATAATTTGGAAAATTCATTTTACATGGAAAGACATTTCCAATGGTCTGCCCAAAATTCAGGATTAAGTCTAACATTATATACTGGGATGAATATTCAAAGACCCCTTTGTTAATTTTCCTAATTGTATGTCTCCATCTACCATATATATTAATGTTGACCTGTAAATCCAGATACCAGAATTTATATAGTAATAATAATAATATTGTGTGTTAAATAATATATAGTATAGTTTCTATGAAGATGCTTACAGCGCCAACATCCACATAACAAACGTTAATAATATTTATTTGGTTAAGTATGCCTGGGTAGAGCATGGATAAGGAGCCAAGAAGTCTTGTTGACTCTCTACTGCTTTCAAATCAAAACTAAGGATAAAACTCAAAAACATTCTTAGTACTTAGATAAATACACAACCACTGTATATTAAAATAAACAAGGAAATAATACTTAAAATACAAAAAAAAAAAACTTAAAATAATTGAAAAGAAAAAAAATGCTTTGTATAACTTATAATTTTTGTAATGGATGGAAATTGACAGTTTATTTCCAAGTATTAACAGAAGAAGAAAGGTCCATCATCGCATCCCTAACATTTAGTAATGTTTAGCATCCACCTAATCTTATAAGGGGAAAAGCAGTGGCATGGTATATAGAAAAAAATAGAAGTAGAATTAGAAAAAAAAATAGTCAGGCAATTAAAAAAGATAATAATAATGACCTTACAGTAATAAGTTAAAATTATATTTTAATCAAAAACTGGGACTTACTATAATTAACGTTGAGTGATGTTTCGTCCAGCTCCACTGAACTTCTTCAGACAACTGACCCGTTGGATTGATCAACGTTAATTATAGTAAGTCCAGATTTTGATTAAAATACAATTTTAACTTAACACATAACAACATTCACAGACTTACAGTTATAAGTGGTACTAACCAAAATATACGGTAACTAAGCTTTAAAAGTGTTAAATCTAGATTAAATTCAATTTTTTCACCTAAATTTAATAATATCCTGAAGGATAAATGTGATTTGGTATTAGTAGGATATTATCAAAACTTGTAAAGTAAACAAAAATTTATTTTCTAAAAATATTTTATGAAAATAAAAACTAAAACAAATATTTTTTTTTTCATTTTTGAGGCATTTACAGTATGCCATTTTGGTACTTTGTAATCTTAATACTTAATAAATATACTTAATAAAAATATTTACCATAATAATAATGACCTTACAGTAATAAGTGATACTAACCAAATATATACGGTAACTAAACTTTAAAAGTGTTAAATGTAGATTAAATTCAATTTTTTCACCTAAATTTAATAATATCCTGAAGGATAAATGTGATTTGGTATTACAGTAGCAGGATAATATCGAAACTTGTAAACAAAAACTTATTTTCTAAAAATAAAAACTAAAACAAATATTTTTTTCCTTCATTGTTGAGGCATTTACAGTATGCCATTTGATACCTTTTTTTTTAATGGTTCCTAATATGAACAGAGACTGACTGGTTTTAATTACTTTTTATGACAATGTGTTTTTCAATTCGCAACCAGAAGGGAAGTACATTATATGTACTGTACTGATAAGAACAATAGTTATTGTTTTTAATACTAAAAAAAAAAATTATATTCTTATAGGCTTTTATATTATTTCCTTAGAAAAAAATAGTTATAGTATAAGTAAAGCATATACTTAATTACTTGGTATAACAGTATAATTATTAATATTTACTATTAATATTATTACAGTATAGTAGTAGAATTGAATCTTTCTGGTTATGTTGATTGCCTGAAAGTCCCAGGTTACTAGGCTCAATTCTTGTGATTTACAAGAATTGTTCTCTATATAAAATCTCTACTCCCTGAAGGTCAATTAGAGACCTGGTTTATACAGGGACTTAATACCAATAAACTGTTAACAGTTATAAATTCAATAAAGCAGGGCTCTGTGAGAGAATAGTACAATATTTCTACTGAACTATTACACAAGAAGAGGAAAAAAGACCTGGATTTTAAAGCAAAAATTAATTGCTATGACACACACTGTATGCCACATTATACATGTAGTTAATTGGTCGATGAACCGAGTACGGCCATTAGTAGTAGTAATGCTCTATAATGGTGGTTGAGGTGCTTACTCCAGAGTACTGAGATTCAATTATAATTTTTTTTTTTCTTCTAAACTAACAATATCTCTACCTCTGTTATGTTACTTAGCATTAAATCATTGTTAGAGAACAATAGGGTGCAAGTATAACTGTTATGATACTTAGCAGTAAGTTATTGTTAGAGAACAAAAGGGTGCAAATATAAAAAATGGCAAAAAGATTAAACATTATTAATTACAGGACCGCAGAAAAACTGGACACCATCACATGCCATTCAAACTGTGTTAGAACCCTGATAAGCAGTTTCACTTCCTGGCAGGATCTCCTTAATGATTAATTTATGGATGCTGAGCCATCCCTATTACTAATCCCAATGTCCTAATAAAGTATTTAAAGAACAATAGGAATGAGTACCAAGAGGAAGCTATGCTACTAGGAAGGGGAGTTACGGTAGTGGGAAGCTGATTGTAGGGTGAGCTACGGTAATGGGATTGTGAGTTAGTAGGTAGGGAGTGCTACTAGGTAAAGAGTGGGAGTACAGTGCTTAAGGGGAGCTACTTAAGGAGAGCTATTTGGAAGGTTTGCTATGGGGAAAGGGGAATATTTGCAAACGGTGGCAATTCAAGTAAGAATAATAATGGTTTGGCGCAGCGGGAATGCTTTGGTTTCTCAACCTCGAGGTCAGGGTTTCAATCCTTCACTATACATTTCGCTTGTGTCCTTGAGCAAGCCCAGGTGTGAATGGAAATAGTGGAATACAAGCTATGCGGCTCGGTTCCAGTAGATACAGAGAATATTTTGTAATTCTTAACGCGTGTATATGGGCTGTGTATATATATTGCCTTGGTTTGGCTCTGTAATCATTAGTGGTCGTGGGACTAGTTTGGGTTCTGCCTAAGCTGGTCGAACGTTTCGTTTGGGTCTGTACCCTAGCTGCACTGATGAGGCCTGGAAGGCCGAAACAGATCCGTCTGCAGATATTGAGATTCCTTCCAGTGGATGCTTAGTTTATTTTGTCATTCTGATCGGATTTTCTCTACTGTTCCGTTTTCATTTTATGGTTTATGGTTTTATATTTATATAGCGCCTTCCACGATCGAAACCGTCTCAAGGCGCTTGAAAAATATATGTGAAAAATTATGGAAATAAATTTGACCGGAAATAACCTAAACTAACCAAACAGAATAACCGACAAAATGGATAAAAAATAGAATCACACATCATCACACCGTTTCACTGACCGACCAAGGCCGATCAGCTATTGATTTCACAGGTGTCATAATGATGTGT